TGCACCCCATGTGCATGCAATAACTTTTCGGATGAAGCTCAAGTGCATGGCGCAATCCAGAATAAAGCATTTTCATTATTTTAGGGTATCATCTTGTAGAGCTCGATGAGCTGAGTTCAACAGTATTTTTATCTCCTCGATTAATTAATTTTGAAGTGATTTATAAAGAAAAGACGAAAAAGACGCGTACTCGCGGTATTATCGCAAATTTTTGAGTTCTTACGGCGAGTACCGTATGTTCGAGAAGCAGAGTATTCCGTACATCAGCCCATTTTCTCCATTGAGTCAGGAAGTAGCGGAAGAAGGAAGTGTTTGAGCAAGTTATCCGAACCCTCAGGCAATTTCTGCAATTGTGTAATGTTTTGGTTCCATTGTCTCTGCCAAGGGAAGAATAGTGGTCGGTGGGTACTAGGGGATTACTGTACGAGTCATTATGTTAATATACTAACATTGTGATGAGTGCCCCCCTCCCTCCAATTATATTTTCATCCTAAAAATTACTAGGTAATCTTAAAGGGTGTATCTCGTTTGGTGCGGCCTGTCGCCATAATGGGCCATCCAATCGAGGATCGGCATCTGCGGCACTTGAGCCCTCAGACCTCCAAGCTCACCGGACCACCGCTTCCTACTTGCGCCCCACATAGGTGAGCGGACCAGCACCCCATGGACCAAGGGGCTCGTAGCTGGAGAAGGCCCCCAGCCCTGATGATGGATAGTGGAATAATATAAACTCGTTAGAGCCCGGTTTCTAGGTGCACGATACCGACCTCATTCGCGTTTCAATCTCTTATGGACGTACCAATAAGGATGTCATCGATGAATCTTGGAAGAATATGAAGGCACTCATAGACGAGTTTACCAATCGCAAAAGTGAGTCACACACATACTTCTTGTTTCCAACTAAATATAATAGTTTGCGTTGTTGGCTTTGCCCTTTACATCCAGTTTTCACCTCCCATAGCGTTTCGATTGGAGCAGTGTATTTTGAGTGTAGAGCTCAATCCCAGACAAGCTGCGGTTTCATCCTTTATACGTTACCTTTACAACTTCCAATCTATTTGTTTGAGAAGCACTCCATGTTTCCAATACCTAACATTTCCCATTTGCATGAATGGTGTTACTAAAGACTGCCCAGCGATATTTCAGACGATCCATATCTTCTGCACACAAAAATGGTGGCACCATTGCCTTTGCAAAGAAAACCATTCCGACCACAGAGCGTCGAGTATGTGACCATATCCTCTCGTCCTCCTGAAGTCAAGCCCGTTGTGAGTAAAATTGTATTTTCTGTCAAAGGTACGGTCCAACTGCGTCAACTCTAGAACAGCTGATATTCTCTTACCGAAATAGCGAATGGCTGCTAGCAAAGCACATGCACTGATCTAGTACGATGGGCGGTTCCCAGGAGCATATGTAGTTCTAGACAGGTAGTCAAGAACTGAGTAAGTAATGCCCAGCTAGTGGGTCTTACTTTTTATCATCGCTCTGAGAAAAAAACGGCAAAACCGTTTTTATATTAAATGGGCTTGCAGTCATTAAGTCATTAGCCAAGCAATACTCTGTATCTCACCACCAACCACACAACTGGAGCAGACACATGATTCGCCAGTATTGTCTTCCTTTGAGTAATGCGTCATATTTTGTTCCTGCTTGATATCAAGTACAGCTAAGAGGTATAGACAAGTTTCTTCGATCTAAACGGAACTTTAATGTTCCCTACCTACACACGAACCTGAGCAATTGTATACTTACGATTTCTTCTAGAAAGAATATGTCCATCGATAGGTATACATTGATTTCAATCGTTGATCGCGGAGTTGAACCGTATCTTTACCAATGAGGGGCACTTTCCGAAATCCCTACATCGTGACGTCTTTTGATGCTTTCACTATTACAGGATACGCAATCCGATGCTCGGAGTGAGATTTGAATTCGTTTTTGAATTGTCAGATGTGCAGCTTTTACGTCCGCGAATTGATCGTAAATTGTTTACAGACCCGTGATGATACGGCAGAAGAAGAGCGAATGCGAAGTAATCTTCATTTGAAACAAACGTGTAGCTTTCTGTTTTGTCACGTACTGCATTATATCGTCAATAAACAGATTAATTCTAAGTATATATCCTCCGATTGGGCATCATATAACTTGAATTCTTGGGAACGGGAACACTTTGAACCGAGAGAAGAATTTCACCAAATCGCTGCACTGAAAAAACACGCATGGAAATATTGGGTTGTAACATAAGTTTGTAGAGTTTCTTCACAAAGATTTATTTGAGCAAAAAAAACAATAGTTATAATAATAAGTTGATCAATTATGTATCCTACGTTACTGTTTACGGCCTCCTCCCATCTTTCGACCAGTTTGTTGATGCTGTTTCGCCAGAAATCGGCCGATCTGGTGCTGAATAAGTTGGGCCAGTTTTTAAAGGCACGGTTCACGATAAAAAAGGTTACTGAGTTCTTCCTTTCGGATACTCAGCCTTCCCCACCCCCCATGGGTGGTAGAAGGGACCCTCTCGCTCCCACAATCTCGGCGCTTAGGGCATAGTGGAAGCCCCGTTGCTGTCGTAGTTCGCTTTCCCGCCCCTCGATCGGTGCCACGTTAGACAAGTGTCGAGACAATACAGATTGCTCTTATTCGTTCTAGGACCCACGCACAATCAGCTAATCGCCGAGTGATGAGGCGATGTTTTTCTCCCATTCTTTTTTCCTCTGTTTTTCTTTTTGCTGCCGCGAACCCTTAATTAATTTCCTACTCCTAGAGGCTGAAAAAGGTGAGCTTCTTTTGTTGTTACTAGGGTGTTTTTGTTTATTTATGCTTATAAATGAATGAATATTTGCTTACCATTGTCTGTTATTCGCACCAGGACCCACACGCGCGCAGTGAAACACACTATTTAGCTCGTCTGAACGCCCCACTCTTCTTCATTCTCCTGGTTTCATTCTCGTCCAGCCCCCTTTTTAACGGTTTTTTTAAGGCTTTTTTCACTTTGGAAACACCGATGCACACAGTTTCTTCACCTCAGTCGTACTAGTTTCGATCTTGTCTTCCATTTTTCATCATAATCTGGATTACCCAAAATTATCGTGAACTGTGCCTTTGAGATCCACTCCGCCATCGAGGGTAACACCCCTCATTCGGTTTGACAGAGGGCGAAAAAGTGATAGTGGGTAGGTGCGAATCCGGAGAGTACGGTGGATGCTGAAGAACCTCCCATTAAAGCTCTTGGAGTGCTGTTCTGACGACTTGGGCATTATGGGTCCCGGCGTTGTCCTGAAGCAAGATGACTTGACTTTGCCTATCGCGTGCGT